GCCCGCCCCTGCCACTGCTCCTTGCTTTGCACCTTGGCTGGGGAGAGCCGTGACAGTGAGGGACCCAGCCCTGCCTGCCCGCTCCGAGGACATGGCTCGGCCCCTGCTCCTCTCTCTCCTGCTCTTTGCCCAACTGCGGTGGGGGGCCGGCGTCAGCCGAGGGCGGACGGTGCCCCACGAAGAGAAAGGAAGCCCAGGGAAACGGGCTATTTACAACAGCGTCAAGAGCCCGGATCCTCTCCCGGCTCCCTGGAGCAGATCTACTGAGAGCACCATCTTGGCGCAGAGACTCACTGAAGAGGTGCCCCAAAACGTGGCCTCCTTCCTCTACACTGGAGACTCCCGGGAACTGGGGCGCGCCAACTGCTCCAGGAGGTACGAGTTGGCCAGCTTGGCCGGGAAGTCCCGCCTCATCGCTCACCCTTCTTTGCACGGTGCCCTGGACACGCTCCTCCACGCCACCAACTTCTTGAGCATGATCCTCCAGAGCAATAAATCCCGGGAGCAGAACTTGCAGGAGGACATGGGGTGGTACCAAGCCTTGATCAGGAGCCTCCTGGAAGGGAACCCCAACATCTCCAGAGCCGCTATTACTTTTAATGTGGAGCCCTTATCCTCTGCTCCCCAGGTTTTCCTCCAGGCCAGCCGGCATGAGACCCAGATCCTGCTGCAGGATTTGTCCTCCACAGCCCATCATTTAGCCAATGCCTCGATAGAAACCGAGTGGTTCCACAGCTTGAAGCGCAAGTGGAGGCCACACCTGCACAGGAAGGTCTTAACCCCGGGCCCTAAAACTTTGGCGAGCAGCTGGAAGAAGAGAGACAGCTACACGGCAGATAAGAACCACATCAAATGGTCCTCGCCCTACCTGGAGTGTGAGAATGGGAATTACAAACCTGGATGGCTAGTGACTCTGTCAGCAGCTTTTTATGGGCTGCAGCCAAACCTTCTCCCCGAATTCAGGTAGGAGGAGAACACTTTTCTTTCTGTTTAGTTACTACTCAGAGCTGTGTTGGGAAGGTGCCACAAATTCCAGCTGGGTTTGCTGTCAGGAGTGGGGTTGAGGGGAGGCATGTCCAGGAATTTGTGTCTCAACAAACTTGATCATTCAATTCTAGAACAGCACCAACCCCCCCCCCCCCCCCCCCCAAAATCAAACACAGAAAAATCAAATTCCTTTAGAGGGAGACCTTGACTGAGCTATTTATTGCCATGCTCTTGGGAGCTGTTGCCTGGTAAAAACATCACTGTTTGTGACAATTTATAAAGCACTCTCTAATCACCTGAGTGGGGGGGAAAGTAATTTTCATGGTCAGAAAGCAGAGTATGTGTCTGTGTGTATAAGAAAACAGGAGATGTTGTCTGTTGTACTTAGTTATTTCTAACTGCAGGAGGAATGCAGAGTTGGTAGTTAAATGTTTGCTGATGTATCATTAGTTACTATGTTGTATAATTAAAACCAGCACAATCCCATACATAATTTTAACCATCCAGAAAACATTTTTATTCTGCAAACTGCAATTTGTAGTCTTTCAAACCCATTCATTTTGGGGTGTACTCAAAGATAAGTACATGCAGATGAATAAACCTGTTACCTCTGTTCAAAATGCAATGCATATGGTTAGATCCTCAGAAGGCTACAGGTAAAACATTAATATTTTTCTAAGGTTAAAAATATAATATGTTCCCTTATGCCTCTGCTGTTTCACATCACAAAAGCTGATATACAGGATGTTTAAAGAATTGTATACAAATTAATCCCAGTAGCAATGAAATGTGAACTTTTAGAGAGAAATTTACAAAGATACAAGTCTGAGGTCTTTACACTTAGGGCATATCTATACTATGCGATTGGTCTTCCAGGGTTCAATTTAACTGCTTTAGAATAGACCTGCTAGATCGAACTCAAAGGCCAACCCTGTTGGCGCCGGCACTCCTGCTTCTCACGGAGGAGTAAGGGAAGCTGACGGAAGCAAACACTGTATGGATGGTGCAGAAACGAGATGTAAGATATGTTGACTCCAGCTACATGGATGGGACCATACAAACTTTGGTTGTTAGGAGAAGCACCAGATAATGTATATGGAGTTCCTTTCAAATTTCCCATTGTGTCCTTATTTTTTTCTGAAGTGGGTAGTAGCCTTTTTGTGGGTAAAATAGAGTTGCAGGTTTTCTTTTGTGCATTTGGTGCCCCTTTACTTTGGGATTCTGCTGGTGAGTTGAAGTAGCCAGGAACAAAGAGATATAATGTATACTTTATCAGCACCTCAAGGTAGGGAACAATGTCAATAAGCCCAATTCAGCCAAACATTTTTGTGAATTATGGTTTTCTAGGCTTATTATGAAACACACTGGAGTCAAACCAAAGATGAATATGGCCAAATGTCTCTGAAAACTCCAGCCCAATAGAAAGTGATTCTAATCCAGTGCAAGCTGCACCCTGAACTCTTCTCACATGTAGCATTGTTTGAATTAGCAAGTATTGAGCCCAGCTGCAAGCTCCTTGTTGCCAAATTCCTCAGAGGGGCAATAGTCAACTTGGCTGCTTTTTTATAACTTCTTCAGAACCTGGCCCAGCACAGCATGAGAGGAGTTCATGTGTCAGAAAAGTACTGGTTTCTCACTGACATCCATTGTCTGTACGCTCAGTGAACTCATAGGTACTGATGAATGAAAATAACTGTAAATGCAGTGATGCACAGCATGGAGCACTCTTTTGAGGGGGAACATACAATCCATAAAATTTTATTCATTCCTAAAGCTTTCAAGTAACTCTGTTTCATGCCAGGATTCTATCCACATGACCCCTTTAAACTTTTCTTTATTTTATCAAAGAACATATCTGCTAGATTGGGTACAGCCGCTGTCTTGCAAACAGATATGTAGGCCCACACCATGGGCATGTCTACACTAAGAAATTATTTAGAAATAACTTATTTCAAAATAACTCCCAAAATAACTATTTCGAAATAGTGCATCCACATTACACATTGAAATAGCACAGAATTATTTTGAAATAGCCCGACCACACTGATTGGAGCCTACATCACATCTAAAACCCTCAGAAGCACTCTGGGGAGGACATCAGGAGGGCTGACACTTCCTGTAGCTCTTGCTGAAGCTAGCTGAGACACGTGCTTAAAGGGGCTCCTCTCTACAGTCTACAGTCTCACATGCCACTTCTCCACTGCCTACCTCTTACAGGACACCAAACTCATGCCGTGTGCTCTGGTTGCCCTTGTGGGTACCACAGCACTGATTACATGGAGCTGGAGCTGCTGCAAAGCTGTACCTTACGGCGCAGTTCATCCAGATTGCCCACATGCTGCTTCAGGACTATAGCAAGCAGCCCACACTGGGGGACCATTCACCCAGGCCCTGGCACTCCTGCTGCAGCAAATGATCCTCAATCCCTGCACATCAGGGAGCACCACTTCTGGTGGAGGGAGACCAGTTCCAATTGGTGGGACAGCATTGTCTTGCAGTGATGGGATGACCAGCAATGGCTCCAAAACTTCCGCATGTGGAAGGCCACCTTCCTGGAGCTCTGTGAATGATTTGCCCCTGCCTCAGGAAATGGGACACCTGCATGAGATCCACCATCCCCCTATGGAAGCTCACCACACTGGACAGCTACCACTCCATGGGGAACCAGTTCAGCATGGGGAAATTCATGGTGGGGGCTGTGCTTATGCATGTAATCAAGGCCATCAATACCATAGTGCTGGTTGTCACTCGAGAACGTCGACTGGATTGATGCTGGCTTTACCTCCATAGGCTGCCCCAACTGGGCAGAGGGAAATAGACGGCACCCACATCCCCATCCTGGCTCATGACCACCATGTCTGGGACTACATCAACAGGAATGGGTACTTTTCAGTTGTGCTGCAGGCCCTGGTGGACCACAAGGGTCAGTTCACAAATGTCGGCTGGTCAGGGAAGGCGCATGACACTTGCATATTCCAGAACTCAAGCCAGCTCCAGAGGATGCATACTGGCACTTTTTTCCCTGACTCCACCATCAGGGTCAGGGACTTGGACATGCCCATGTGCATCCTGGGCAATGCAGCCTACCTGTTGCTCCCCTGGCGGATGAAGCCGTACATCGGCAGCCCGGACCCCATCAAAGATCATTTCAATGCCAGGCTCAGCAGGTGCTGCATGGCGGTGGAGTGTACCTTTAGCTGCCTAAAGGGGAGGTTCAGAAGTCTCCTCACCCGCCTGGATCTCAGTGATTGAAGCATCCCCTATGTGGTGGTGTCCTGCTGTGTGTTCTACAACCTATGTGAGAGCAAGGGGGACACTTTCCTGCCAGGGTGGGGGGAAGGGGCTGATCGGCTGGCTAGAGCTTTCAAGTCGCAGGACACTAGTGCCATTTGGAGAACACATCAGGGGACTGTTCTCATTCAGGAGGCCTTGAGGGAGAGTTTCATCCAAGGCCACCTGTGAGATTCTCCCCTGGCCCGCTCCACAAGGGGCCCTGTGTGCTTTTCCTCTCACACCCCTCCTTTCCCCTGCCTCCCTTCCCACCTTTCCCCCTCCCCTGCAGACCAAATAAAAAAGCCTTTGAGTTTGGAATATTTAGGGAATATACAACAGGAGGGACCGGGGAAAGAACCTGGAATGGGGGAGGGGGAAGAGATGGGAGGGGGGAGCTTCAGAGATGGGGATGGGACAGGTGCCTGCCTTGGGTACTTTGGGAGGCTTCAGGTGCATGGGAGGTCCCACTGCCACATGTTTGGGGCCCCTTCAGCCCCTGGGGGGCTAAGAGGAGAAGTCGGGGGACAGGGTGGGTGCAGGGGCAGATGCGGGAAGTTGGGCAGGGAGTTGGAGGGGGAGGGAGAAGTGGCTGGTGGCCTGCTCCATACATGGCCATGTGCTTCGTAACTGATGTTATTGAGAGCACATAGCCTTATGCTGGCACAACAGCTGGTCCCACGTGGCCTTTGTCTTCTCCTGGTCAGCCCAGTGTTCCTCATGGTTGGCGGCCCACTCCTGGTGGTCCTCACTGAAGCTCCAGAAGAGGGACTGGAGGCAGGCCATCTGTTCCTGCAGCAGATCTTCCTTGGTGCGCTTTCTCTGGTGGATCTCGCAGCGATGGGAAGATGGCATCGGAGGTGGTTGATGTACCATGCTCAGTGCTGTGCCAGCTGTGAAGAAAAGTGACAAGGACAGTCATTCCAGGAGACACTGTGTATGGATCCTAGTCCTAATCTCTGAACGCACAATGAAGGTCTTGGTTCAGACGATGACTATGTGCTTTGAGCAAGGCCATCTGTTGCCTACACAGTAGGCACTTTCCTGCAGGGGCACAGATGTCCCAGGGGAGCATTGCTATACCCACATCCTGGGGACGAACAAGCATGGGAATGTTCCAGCCAGGTCAGGAGAATTTGGGCAAGAGGAGGGGATGAGGCAGCTTGGCTTCCTTCCATGTCCCACATATCCTGGGTCTAGCAATGGTGGCATCCCGCAGAGAGAGAACTTCTATCCCAGCCTGCTACAGGAGAAGGTGGTATTGTAGGAGGTATATGTGAGTGGCAGAGGCTGCTTTCCAGAAAAAGTGGTACAGGGGTCTTTTCCTCTTCCTCCCACCGGTAGGTTCCCATGCAGGGATCTGTCTCCTCCACATCGCTGTGCTTGCCTAGGTGTGAATACTACCTCAGTACGGGCCTGTGATGTGTGTGGCATTGTGTGTTTCCATGACCCCAGCCTCCTTAGAGGTGGCTTGTTTCAGGAATGTATCCAACCTTGGAGTCTGGAGTAGGCCTGTCGAGTAACCAAAGGGGTGAGAGGTTCCTGTGTGAGAGCATCATGGAGCTGAGTGCTCTGAATTGGCACAGGCTGTTGTGTGACGCCCATGTGCACAGGCTGTTGTGTGACGCCCAGGCTGAGAAGGCCAAGCAAGGAGCACATAGCCCCTTGCAGGCTGCCAGCTGCCCGATCCCCTCCCCCAACCATGT